ACAGTCAGCATTGGCTTGCATTTGACCTGGAGCCCACCGCTTGACCCGGGGTCTAGAGGGGAGCGCAGTGGAGGGGACGTCACCACGTCGAAGCCCCTCCCGGGGCACTGCCTGAGTCCCCGGACCCCGCGTCAGCAACAGTGGGCCTGTTCCCTGCGGCCTCCCCGCCCGCGAGGTTCAGAGCCGGAGAGGAGCAGGGCCCGGGGGCCGCCCATCACTGCCAGCCTGGGCTTCTCGGGCAGCGACTCAGACCAGACGAGCGTTTTAAGAGGAATCTGGCACTCCCCCCCGCACCATGTGGACTAAGGGAATATTTGGGCAAGAAAAACACGTACAGGGAAATCCTTCTGAACAAAATGGCTGTCTTAACTCTTTTTAAGCAAAAACTTTCCAAACTTTTTAGTGTCAAAACTAACCAAGCGTCTCCTGGTTTTTTCCAACGTGTTTGGCGAGTCTGTGACCCTCTTGTGGGTGTTTCTCCTCCTGGCTCTCGGGGGAGGGGCGGTTTAGGGAGCGGGTTTCTGACCCCTCGCACCTCCTCCCGTTTCTCTGCCTGTCGGTGTTGCCGTGTGGTTCCGAGAATCGGGGCAGTTACACTGTGTCTGTTGTTGAGATTATTAAGATATTAAAAAGTAGTTGTAGAGCTGAAAAATTAAAGAGCTGTGTTTTGAAAAATGCAAGCCAACATCATGTTAATAAAGGAATTCAAGCTGCGGGGCAGCCGGACTCCTCCCCTCCTCCCTTGTTGGCTGGGCGGGCAGCCAGGCCAGCTGCTGGAGGCCGCGGGGCCGCAGTCAGGCTGGTGGACTGCCTGGTGAAGGCGGTGGCCGCTGAGGAAGAGGAGGAGGAACCTGGGGCCCCGAGTCCCGACTGTGCCAGAGTTTGCCCATACGTCCTCAGGATCTCTGCTAGAGGTTCCCAAATTTGTGAGCCCAGAACCCCCCTCGCCCCACATTGGTCCCAGCTCAGTGTGCCTGATACCGCGCGGCCGCCCGGTCTTGGCGCCGGAGCCCCACGCCTGGCAGCAGCCCTGGACGGCCGCAGCCCCTCCTCCTGCCCACTTGGTGCTATACCATCCGGTGACCCGTCCACGCTGGACCGAGCCCTGGCCGGCCTGGAGCCTGCAATCCAGGTGAGGGAGTCCGCCTCAGGTCCCGGTTCCTTCTGGCTTCAGCCCCTACATTCTTTCGCTGTTCGCTTTTTTAGAGCCTGGGTCTCCTGGGCTGTCTGGG